ATATACAGTCATTGATAGGATTGCTTCGCTCAAAATTTTAAACTGATCTGAATTAAGATAATACTCAAAAGTTTGTAAGTCAATAATATGATATACTACGGAATCTTATAGATATCATATTAGTATACCTACCTATTTGTTTTTTTTATTATTTACCTACCAGAAATTTAATAATCATTACCTATATGGCTATATGTACCTATATGTATTTATTAAACCCACAACATTTAACATTCTGCATTGTTCGTAAATATTGTATTACAATTATTCCCTTTAAGTAATTAATAACTACATACACGATACACAATTAAAAAAAAAAGCTTTACAATTTGTGTATAAAGAAAAATCTTAGTCATTATATTATATGTGAGGGTTATGCTCATTCAGATGAAATCGTCTATGCCACCTCTTACTGAGGCTAGGTTATAACAAAATCATATCTATGTGATGCTATAATAATAGACCATTAGAAAGAAGACAACTCTAGATTAGGTGGCGCGGAGAGATATGGTCCTAAATTTACCATTACCACTTAYTTTACAAATGAAAATATTGCATAAATGTTTTTATTATACTGAAGTCGTGTGTTATAGATTTCCACGGAGATCATGAAAATAGACAAATGTACAGAGTCATACGATTTAATGATAAAGAACAATTTAAGAAAAAATCAAATCATGTCATAACTGCCCACTACGGAATTTTATCATTTGTACCATTATTTACCATCGAACAATTACTAAAATTTTCCAACCAGTATTTTTTATTTATATCTATACTGCAGGTTAGTACACAATATATACTATATAGGTAATTTATAAGTCTTTAAGAATAGTACTTAATACTTATTGTAACATTGTGTAATAATATTTAGGTAGGTAAATTAATGAATTATAGGATCATATGATACCTATTTTATTGAGTTACAATTAGGTGCCTCAGGTGCCTGTATATATAAACCTGTAGTTGAAAATAACTTACACTCTTTAAGACTAGATGTAGATGTTATTATGCACTAATTACCCATGTTTTTTAAGCTTATATGTAAAAAGTATGAATTAATATTTCTGTAAATCTAATTTTTATAATGGATTGATAATTCTTTCAAACTAAATGTTCTTAACAGTTTTCTAGTTGAATGGTTGGAATCTTCATGATTATGACTTCATTATTAGAGATTTCTTCAATTTAAGTTTCTTCTGTGTTATTTTATTCAATAATTTTCTTATTTGGTCAAAGATAAATTAAGTTTCCTTTGATAGATTCACCAAATATATGGCCAAGGACAAAATACAAATTAGGCCATATATACATATGTAATATATAAATTGGACCATATGTAATATAATATTACATAGTCTGTTAGTCACCGATGGGCCCCTTAGCCATGTGTGCCCAGGACAAATTTATATTTTGTCCGTGTATAAATATGGCCCTGGCGCTTCACCACCTTCTGTCTTCATAACATAATATCTAAGACAATCTGCTGCTATCACTTATTTTGTCTTTTCTTTTTAGGTTTTCTTCTATGTTTAATATTCTTTTAATTTTGAGTGTTAATCTCAATATACTAAATGCATATAATACTATTACTATTTGCTAAATATTTTCTCTCAGTTTTAATTTAACTTTAATAAACATCTTCAGTTTATTTTGGTTTTAACAATTTTTTTTATGTATTATTGATATTCACAACATTCATTGGTCTATCAACCATTGGATTAGTTATTCTGATTTTGTAGTATGTATGGTGTGTTTCTATAGTCAAAAATACATATTTTTATTATCTTAATATCTGCAAACAAAGTTAATTAAAATATTTTTAGTTATACTAGCTACAAAATATATTAATTCTTGATTAAATCTAAAGTATATTATGATATTAGGAATTTCATTTATGTTTTTTGGCATTCTAATATTATCTTCTTTTAGCAAATCATTTTTTTGTATCTTTCATCCTCCTTCAGTCTTTATCCTTACTTAAAGTATCAGCCATATGTTTYGTATAAATTATTCTAGGTTTGTATTGCTAAGCTTTGAGAAAATTCACTTTATTTTTAGTTGGATATATTTATGTTTAAGTTTGTTGAAAATCAACTTCAGAAGTTTCGTCTACTTCAAATACTATCTTCTTACTATATGTGCAAAAACAAAACATAACTTATATCAACTGATAATTTAACATTCCTATTAAAATTCTTTCTCACTTTGTTTAAATGTTTGAAGTTCTTTAGAACACTGATTTGGATTTTTTCAGCATCAAGCAACTTAATTTTAATTTTATTATTATAGAGAGTASAAACTAAAGACAATCATATCTGTTAGATATAATTAGAATAGTCAACTCAGTATAATCACATTTTTTTTTATAATTAATTGTCTGATGTTTTATATTGAATCTTTTACATTTTCATTTCTTTCTGCATTTTTTTTATTATAAAATTATCTATCATACCTACTTTACATTTGTTTTTGTCATGAATTCAGTTTCAAATGTCACTTGCAAACTTTAAGGTAACATTTCCTTCAGCAATCAATGTAAATGCATTTTTATATTTTTTATCATTTATGTTTCTCTGTATTTCATAAGATCAGCAACTTGTATCACTTATGACTTTTTACAAACATTTATGGTGAACGTATAAAACTCAAACTTAGTTATTTTTAAGCCTTTGTTCTAATACCTTGATAAAACAAMTTAAAAGTACATCAATAATGTGAGGAATACACTTATATCATTGATTATAGATTTTAACAATAGTCTATTATAAAAATACTCAATATGTATCAACCTTTGTAAAGATAATTTAGATGAAGGGTACTTTTTATTTAAAAAAAAAAAAATTAAGACAAATTTAAGTTGCGAATACATACAAATGAAGTGAAACTTCTTTACAGAGGGCACAAATAAAAACTTCATGGTTGGCATCAAGGTACAATTTTAGGTTGTATTAGATTAAAATAATATTAAGAACAATTTTCAATTTTCAATTAACTTTTTGATACTACGGAACAAAGATAAAATTATGATTATTATTTATTATTTATTATCATAGAATCATAGTGTCAGAAGATAATAATTTTATTTTTTATTTTTCGCTTCTTCACTAAACATAATTCACTTCAAAAACATGAATGTTTAATACCAATTTAGACATATGTCAGTTATTGGCTTATTTCCTATTTATGTATGTATATTTTTTTAGCAAATACCTGATGCATCTCCAGTTGGCAGATTTACAACAATATTACCTTTAACTATTAAGCTTGGATTCTCGGCGATTAAATCAATTATTAAGGACYTAGTAATTATGCAATTTTTTTTAATATACGTTGTTGTCCACACATCAAAATATGAATTTTCATTTTTCTTATAGGTCAAAAAGTCTTGATATTTATTATCCAATTTATTTAGGGATCCCATACGTCTTATATTTGAATGAAGTGGCCTGATGTCCCGATACAAGTTTTGTTAATTGCCAACATAAATCCCCATACCCCCCTGACCAAATTAACACCAATGTAAATTAAAATTAAAAGTATGTTTTAAAATGTCATGTATTTAAAAAATAAATAAATCTGGGATCCCTATATTTATTTTTTAGCTGCTTAATATTTTATAAAATATGAAACAGTTAAATATTATATAAATATATATTAACTTTATAAATTAAAATAAATACATGTAAGAATCAAAAAAATAGAANTATGAGCATTTGAATTATATAACATTGGATATTCACTCAATTTCTCTTGTACCAATATTCTTATTTTGTTGTTATTCAAAAAAGAATAAGTGTAAACATTTTAAATTTACACTAAATGTTTATTTAATCAATTCCTAAAGGTACATAATAAAATTTTCAAAATATTTCAACTATATGACAAAATTTACTAATTTAAAATTTACAAGTTCTTTGGTTATTAAAAATGTATAAAACGTTTAACTTTTATAGCTAAGGTTTGATAATTAATTACAAAGTTCCTTGTAAGTAGTTAATTTCTGCGGGAAAAAAATTTAAAAATTACATACGCAATTTTTTTTTATAGTTATTTTAAGTTAAAATTTGGATGAAATTAAATTACCAAAAATAATAATTTTAGCTCTATTGTTGTAATTTAGTATTTAGAAAAATTATAATTCGAGTAATTTAAATTGTATATTATACAATAATATATATATATATATATATATATTTTTAAATTAATATAGTATAAAACTATAAAATATTCTTGACAGGCGAACCGTTTCCACTCAGAATCATTTTTCGTGTACAAATTGTACAATGATAATAATATATCATTGAATTCAAATTTAATACGATCCATTACAGTAACCCACTTGTTAACTACTTTATAGCAGAGCGATATCTACCTACTTACCTGTTTTTTTTTTTTAATTACTTTTGAAATAAAATTTTTCAGTAAGGAAAAATTATTTTGAAAATAAATACAATGGTCCTCATAAAACACTTTAATATAGTATAGTTAAAAAATATTAAAATTACAAAGCCATGATTATTTTTGATAGGTGTGCGTTGAAATTTCAAATTTTGAAAAAACTTAGAAACATTTTTTAATAGAATGAATTTCTCAACTAGTTTTTCTACCTTTAACTTAATTATTATAGTTTACTAGATAGTAGAATTATTTTTTATTTGGACGTTTGAATTGACAATCGTAATGGTATTTGTTATTCAGCGGTAAATCAAGAAATTTCTACTACCTATAGTGAATTTTGATGTTTTGTTRTGATTCAAAAATAAATAACAGTATAAATATTTGATATTTTTATCAAATATTAATCTATCATTGTTCATACAATGAAATTTAAATGTAAATGTATCAATATATTTTGACAATTTTTGAGCTATTTATATCCTTGATTTTTTTTTAAATGCTTTTTAATTTTTACTTCTCATGGTAGATATATATGTATTAACTATTTAACTATATCCAAGACTAAAAAACACCATCAAAGTGAAATTTTGATGCATTTTCGCTCCAAAATAAGGAATACAAAATTTTAAAAATGTATAAATACAGCATTGTAATATTAATATACAGTCATTGATAGGATTGCTTCGCTCAAAATTTTAAACTGATCTGAATTAAGATAATACTCAAAAGTTTGTAAGTCAATAATATGATATACTACGGAATCTTATAGATATCATATTAGTATACCTACCTATTTGTTTTTTTTATTATTTACCTACCAGAAATTTAATAATCATTACCTATATGGCTATATGTACCTATATGTATTTATTAAACCCACAACATTTAACATTCTGCATTGTTCGTAAATATTGTATTACAATTATTCCCTTTAAGTAATTAATAACTACATACACGATACACAATTAAAAAAAAAAGCTTTACAATTTGTGTATAAAGAAAAATCTTAGTCATTATATTATATGTGAGGGTTATGCTCATTCAGATGAAATCGTCTATGCCACCTCTTACTGAGGCTAGGTTATAACAAAATCATATCTATGTGATGCTATAATAATAGACCATTAGAAAGAAGACAACTCTAGATTAGGTGGCGCGGAGAGATATGGTCCTAAATTTACCATTACCACTTAYTTTACAAATGAAAATATTGCATAAATGTTTTTATTATACTGAAGTCGTGTGTTATAGATTTCCACGGAGATCATGAAAATAGACAAATGTACAGAGTCATACGATTTAATGATAAAGAACAATTTAAGAAAAAATCAAATCATGTCATAACTGCCCACTACGGAATTTTATCATTTGTACCATTATTTACCATCGAACAATTACTAAAATTTTCCAACCAGTATTTTTTATTTATATCTATACTGCAGGTTAGTACACAATATATACTATATAGGTAATTTATAAGTCTTTAAGAATAGTACTTAATACTTATTGTAACATTGTGTAATAATATTTAGGTAGGTAAATTAATGAATTATAGGATCATATGATACCTATTTTATTGAGTTACAATTAGGTGCCTCAGGTGCCTGTATATATAAACCTGTAGTTGAAAATAACTTACACTCTTTAAGACTAGATGTAGATGTTATTATGCACTAATTACCCATGTTTTTTAAGCTTATATGTAAAAAGTATGAATTAATATTTCTGTAAATCTAATTTTTATAATGGATTGATAATTCTTTCAAACTAAATGTTCTTAACAGTTTTCTAGTTGAATGGTTGGAATCTTCATGATTATGACTTCATTATTAGAGATTTCTTCAATTTAAGTTTCTTCTGTGTTATTTTATTCAATAATTTTCTTATTTGGTCAAAGATAAATTAAGTTTCCTTTGATAGATTCACCAAATATATGGCCAAGGACAAAATACAAATTAGGCCATATATACATATGTAATATATAAATTGGACCATATGTAATATAATATTACATAGTCTGTTAGTCACCGATGGGCCCCTTAGCCATGTGTGCCCAGGACAAATTTATATTTTGTCCGTGTATAAATATGGCCCTGGCGCTTCACCACCTTCTGTCTTCATAACATAATATCTAAGACAATCTGCTGCTATCACTTATTTTGTCTTTTCTTTTTAGGTTTTCTTCTATGTTTAATATTCTTTTAATTTTGAGTGTTAATCTCAATATACTAAATGCATATAATACTATTACTATTTGCTAAATATTTTCTCTCAGTTTTAATTTAACTTTAATAAACATCTTCAGTTTATTTTGGTTTTAACAATTTTTTTTATGTATTATTGATATTCACAACATTCATTGGTCTATCAACCATTGGATTAGTTATTCTGATTTTGTAGTATGTATGGTGTGTTTCTATAGTCAAAAATACATATTTTTATTATCTTAATATCTGCAAACAAAGTTAATTAAAATATTTTTAGTTATACTAGCTACAAAATATATTAATTCTTGATTAAATCTAAAGTATATTATGATATTAGGAATTTCATTTATGTTTTTTGGCATTC